ACTGGAAAGTCAAGTTACTAAAGAAGTATATCAGAAGTGCTGTGCATAGGAGCAGGCCCACAAATTTATGGTCATAAATTTAATGTGAAACCAACCAACCAACTCTGTTCTTTTTCCAGCTACTTGCAGTTGCTCCATTCCAAGCACAGAGAAGGCACATATCTATATTCATGCACCATTGTACTTTTGTGAGATGAATTCAATGATCAAAGACTAGAAGAAAGAAATTAAGGATTTCAGCAAGGGCGTGAAGGATCATGGAATGAAGGCTGGTTAAGAAGGGAATTAAAAACAGGAGGAATGCAAGGGGATTGTGAAAGTTTAGAAAAGGAATTTTTTTCATTCGTTCCACTTAGTCATTCAGCAATTGAGCTCCTACTGTGTGCCAAACCCTATTCTAGGCCACTGGATATATTTATGAACAAGACTGACCAAATCCTCTCTAAGTAAAGAATTTGAAGTCAGATATTTATTTATTTGTTTGTTTGTTTTTTACTTATTTCAATAGCTTTAGTGGGTACAAATTGGTTTTGGTTTGGGCTTTATGTGTACCCTCTACCCCCATCTGTGCACATTGTACACAATAAGTAATCTTTCGTCCTTCCACCCCTTCTCCCTTCTGAGTCCCCAGTGTTCATTATGCCATCTCTTTGTCTTTGCATATCCTTAGTTTGGCTCCCACTTATAAGCGAGAACATGCGGTATTTGGTTTTCTCTTCCTGAGTTAGTTCACTTAGGATGATGTTCTCCAATTCCATCCAAGTTGCTACAAGATACATCATTTCGTTCTTTTTGATGGCTGAGTAGTATTCCATGGTGTATAGATACCACATTTTCATTATCCACTGATTGACTGATGAGCATTTAGTTTGATTCCACACCTTTACAATTGTGAATTGTACTGTGATGAACATGCGGGTGTAGATGTCTTTCTTGTAACATAAAGTGAGATATTTCTGAGGGTTAGAAGTAAAAATTAAAAAGGACAGGGGACAAAGAACAAGTGGGACGAGAGCGGTGATGATTAGATGGGGTATCCTGGGAAGGGAATCTACTTCAAGTCTGGATGAACTAAGGAAGCAGGGCCGGGAAGAGTTGTGGGAGTAGTATGCTAGGCTGAGGGGGCACAGAGTGTTTTTCTAGTTTTCAATGCTATTCGTAGTTGAATAGTAAGGGGAAAAATAGCCATGATAAACATGTTATTTTTCCTTCCCTATTGTATTTTTAAATGATGTGTCATTTAACCATGACACAGCTGGCTTAAGCAAGTAGGTGTTGCACAAAAGTAAGTAAAGTGAGCAATCAGTTCAGTCAGAAGTCTAATCTAGGTAGACCAAATGCTATAATATACCCTGGATGACATGTTAATGTCCAATTTGTTTGTCACTTCATTCTCCAGTGCCCAGCATTGGAATGCCACTCGTTTTTTGTTAAAAATTGGATTCAAAGAACTGAGTACCACATTCTCTCACCCTTAAGTGGGCCCTGAACATTACCATAATACTGTAAGAATGAGATTGGCAGTAGCCGGAAACTGCCAGGGGAGGCAGGGATATACAATGTCAGTAAGGGTACCTGATCTCAAACCAGATAATGTGGGACCAAAGGGAGGCTCAAACTTTACCTGTGCAATGACCACTTGTATACCTAATCCTGAATTGTACCCCACATGTTTAAGATTAGAAAAAAAGGAGTCAGTTGATAGCTATTGAATTTTGATGCCCACATACAGTTGAACACTTAGAAACACTAAAAATCCTCCTTCAAAGTTTTTCAAAGAAGTTCTTCTGAGGGAAGTATTTGAACACAAACTCAAATTCTCCTCACTTTGCCCTGAGAGTGTGAGGAGTTACTTTAAATGGCTTTGTGAAAAATGTAGATATGTCACACACCATAAAATTCACCCTTTAAAAAAATGCAATTTATTGGTTTTTAGTATGTTCACAGAATTGTACAACTATCACCATTACTTATTTCCAGAATATTTTTATCACCCTAAAAAAAAACCTCATGTGGACCATATCCCATTAGCAGTCACTCCACATTCCCCCTCCTCCCTGCCCCTGGAAACCGCTAATCTGATTTCTGTCACTTACTATTTGCCTGTTCTGGGTATTTCATGGAAGTGGAGTTATACAATAGTGTCCTTTTGTGTCTGACTTCTTTCACTGAGCATGTTTTAGAGGTTTATTCATGTTGTAGTATGTACAGTATTCTATTCCTTTTCATAGCTAAATAATACTCCATTGTATGACTCTGCCATATCTTGTTTATCCATTTATCAACTGATGAACATTTGGATTGTTTCCACCTTTAGGCTATCATGAATAATGCTACAGTGAGCATCGATGTACACATTTTTGTGTGGACATAAATTTCTAATTCTATTAGATACATGTTTACAAGTGTAAATGGCTCTTTAAAAGTATAACTTGTAAAATATCTTCTATTTCACACTTATCTCCATAATATATGTTTTAAAAGACTACATTAAGTTATTACCATTTATTTACTTAAGCTACTAGTTGAATTATTTAACTTTTCTCCAGAAAGCTAAATAACATTGGCCTTGTAGGAAGATGCCACTTGTGTCTTGTGGCTCTGGAGTCCCCTGGCTCACTGCTTGCTGCATAGGTCGGGGCAGCTGTTTCAGTGCCATTCTGGCGGGGTATTGGGAATGCAACTTTGAACAGGAGCTAGCTTGTCTTTTTGTCGGTAAATACCGCTTACTCCTTGAGCTGGATCCTTGACTCCCAGTTCAGTTCTCTGACCACTAAACTTTGTCTCTGTTGTTTGAATTTAAAGTCATAAAACAAACAAACACGCAAACCAAAAAACCATAATTCATGCAGGTGACATTTTCAGATAAAAATTGAGAAAAAAAATGCTTTCAGAGTCTTATAGGGAAAGCAGACTGTCAGCCATGTGCTTATAGTTTCCAGGGACAGGGCAGGAATATTGGAGCCATAAAGAAATACTGCCGCTTCTTATTTGGTGCATAAGGAAGAAAGAATTGTAGACCTTTGTAAACATTCAGCCAGTCATAAAAATAATTACCCATTTCTATTAATTCCCCTTAACCGTCTGCCTTGTTTCTTCTCATCACATTCTAGCATTTCTATGTCAGTAGTTTAAAAAAGAATGCAAGCATTCAGCATCATTATATTATCCAAGTGTAGTCAGATTACGCAATGGATTATGCAGTTGGCTCTTCTAAATGTCATACTGGATATAGTTTATCCCTCTTACAGTGAGTCAGAAGTAGGAATGGGTTCATTCACTATTTCCAGTAAGCAGCTTACCACCAGCAGGTGTTGTAACTAGTGGGATAGGGTAGGACCAGAATGCACGCTTATTTGGGGATCTCAGTAATGTACCCTTTGGTCCTTGCTAAGGCTGTACGTGAGGCCACATGCAGCTGACGGTACTGGCAGCACCTGCAGCTACCCCTCAGCTTATAAGAGGCTTCCAGTCCCCTGAGTCTGGGAATGTTTGTTCCTAGCACAAAACCGAGAACAGGTGCCATGTACAACCTTGTGGTCCAGGCATGAGTCTCAGCTTCATCACTGTCTATGTGATCTTGGACACATTACCTCCGGTTCCAAGTCCTTCATGTGTAAAAAGAGGGGTGTGGACTGGTTGACCTTTAAAAAACTCTTTTGGCTTTAAAATGCTATGGCTCCACAACTTAATGGTTTAAGATGTCAAGTCTATTGGTGATGAGACGTTATATAAAGGATATAAGAACTCAGGCCTTAAAGTTATACAGAATCATCTCTGAGTCCTGTGTGATGTTGGCAAGTTTACTTCACTGCTGTAAGCTCTCGTGTGTTATCCTTAAAAGGGGAATGATGACAATAGTTCCTAGTTCATATGGTTGGGGGGAGCAAAAATGGCATTATGAATTCAGAGTCTTTAGCACAGTGCCTGATATATCATCAGATTTCATATTTGTTAGTAGTAAGTAGTATTGTAATTTTCTTTAGGGGCCATTTTATTCTAGCGATATATTGTTCCCTTTAGAAATAAATGAATATAATTCCAGCAAATTTAAGTAATATTATAAAACATGTCGATGAAAATTTTGTGTAAGACAATAATTAATTCGCTATAAAGTACATTTTTTTAAAGATCTGTGATTTAGATTATTGAATGGTAGCCATGGTGGGGAAATAAATGAGAAGCAGAGAACTATGGAGCAAGTGAGAGAAATAGGACTTTCTCCTTAGCTTCACTGTTGTCTATCATTTCCTTTTATGTATTCTTTCTATTTTAATTTGAAAATAGTCATCTGTGGAAAACTTATCCTAGTTAATGACTGTTCAGAATTGAGACCCTACATAATTTAAAAAACAAAACAAACAGATAAGATTACTATCATTCCGGTTTATCATGGAAGAATAAATAGTAAATGTATACAACTCCACATAAGCTGAATCCTTCTAATTTCTGCTATTTTTCAAATATTGTTTTGGTGTGAATCAAGGACTGAGAAGTTTAAGAATTTTGGAAACAGATATTCATATTATTTCATCAATTAGGGTATTAGTATGAAATTATTATTCTTCGATAGTGGCTTGCTAAGTTATTTGAGGGAATTTGTTTAAGATAAATTATGTAAAGAGTCAGAATCCATTTGTAAAATATCTTGGGGAACGTTGGCAACTTTAAGTTTGTTGATTGATGTCTTAGAGATGTAACTTCAATTCTCAGAAGAAGGGGTGAGCTGTTTATAGTGGGTGTGTATGTGATAAAGTGACATGAGTGCAAACAAGATTTGTAATCATTGTCTCTGAATATATATGTCCTGTATATCCCCCTCCTACTCCATCACCGTTTTATCTTATGTTACTGTTGTATGTGACAAATAAGAGGAAATATTTTGACTTCTCACTACAATCTTATCAGCTTCTGATGTGAACAACACTGTCTCAAAATGCCTTGTCCTTCTTAAAAACTGCTTTAATCGCTTATGTTTCTTGTACACTTTTTTTTTGTAGGAGGCCAGTTGTAAGAACCCCCTACCCATCCTTTTAACAAAAGGCTTAGAAAGAGACATGCCAAAACCATCTCCCAAGACCAAGGTAAATTATGTCTGCTCTTTTACCACGTGAACACTTTTGCATGGCTCTTTGTGCTCTTCTATTCCCATGCTCTGTTGCTTGCATTTCATTCCATCTTTTTTTATTTTTATTTTTCAGGGTTTGGAGGGGGGGACTGGGTGGTGTCAAAAGCACTTTTTATATAGTACACTTAATCCAAGGTTATATCCCATCCAAAAACTCTCAGGACACTCCTATTATTTAACAGACTGTGGGTTGTTTTGTTTTTTTTTTTAATAGATGGTTTTCCTTCTGCTCAATCAGAATTGTTTCCAGTCTCTAACATAGAACATTGTCAAGTATAGAAGATTTTCTCAGGTTACTTCTAAGCATGATTGAAATGCATGAAGTGCGTTTTTCCTCCTAGTGGTGAAGGAGAATGTTCAGCTGTAATGTTTCTTTTTAAAAATAGAAATCACTTGATTGATTTTTTTCATGATTATAAAAGTAACACATGACCAGTGGAAAGCATTTACATACATTTTACAGGAAAAAATTAAGAACTATCTTAGATGTGATGGAATAAAGGGACTAATGTGTAAAATTCTGTTTCCCTTATCAAGAAAAATCCAAACTGGGCATGGTGGCTCATGCCTGTAATCCCAGCACTTTGGGAGGCAGAGGTGAGAAGATTGCCTAAGCACAGGGGTTCAAGACCAGTCTGGGCAACTTGGCGAGGTGGTGCATGCCTGTAGTTCTAGATACTCGGAAGGCTGAGGTAGAAGGATCACTTGAGCCCTTCAGGTCGAGGCTGCAAAGACTGTGATTGTGCCACTGCACTCCAGCCTGGGTAATAGAATGAGACTTTGACCGCCCGCCCCCCAAAATACACATAATTGTTTTGCCATTGAAAAAGAAAACTTCTTTAACCCAAATTATGTCTTGAAATTTTGATCATTTGTTTGTTCTCAGAAAAGTATTTATATTAATTTTATAGCCCCTTACTTTCCTAATCGTTAATCTACTTTGAGTAGAACTTCTATTTACTGGATATATATAATACTCTTAATTGGCCACTATGACATTTATACAACTACTTTTATTTTAGTTCTAAGACAAAATGTTCTCCAAACTTTCTTGAGTCTACTGTAGGCAAAATTTAAAATAATTCTATCTTCTGCTTTTAATTGTAAGTTATTATAAAAAATAATTGTGACTTTATTTATTTTCTAAGGGAATTCAAAGTATCAAGGCTTTACTTAGTGTGTAATTTATGGCAAGAGTATACAGTTTTTTGAAGAAATAAGAATATTTTTTCTTATAAAACTTATTCCACCTTGATTTTTTTTCATGGAAAATTATTTCAACTCTATGGTTTCCTTTCCAGATTCAAATTTTTTTTAGTATCTTTTTCACTGATATATTTGTGTGTGTAAACTTGTATATAATTAATTTACAGAAGAAATTTTGTTTACTGTGCAATGAATACAAATTCAATGTCAAAAATACACTCATCAAACAAATGCATTGAAAAAATGTTGTAAAGTTTGAGGAATTTTTTAGGTAACATCTGCTCATTAACCTTATTTTAACTACTTTGCGGTGGTGAGGTCCTAAATGAATCACTTTCTAAATAAAAGATACTCTTGAAACCTGTCATAAACTTTGAAGGGAGTCTGTTACTCTCATGAAATTAATTTCACTTGTGATATTTTAGTCATATACAGAATCAATCATTAATGTGTACTTAATTTCCTCCCCACCATCTATCTCTGTATGGTTCATAAGCAACTAATTCAATAGAGAAATTATTTTATGTGTCAAGCCTTGGGTTGTGGCTTTAGCTTCTTTGTGGACTTACGTGAGCAAATTTAAGTTTGCATGAGTTGTGCTTAGTTTGGGGTTGATTATAATCCTTGTAATTTCAAATTCCAGAAATGAGGTAGGGCATATGAACTATAAGACATTGTTAAGGCACTAACTGTGTCATCAAGATTGTAGCTTAAGATCTTTTTTCTTCCAGTTAATCTTTGAAAGCTAAAGCTGAGAACAGCTTCAAATTGTGGATGGTGTGTCCTTTCCAGAGTGACTTAGTGAGCTGTGAGAATGATGTGTATCCTTGATATTAATGTTACTCCATTTGACCTCCATTGCTTTCTTAGACATCTCCAGTTACAGCTGAGGTTGTCTTGGACAGCTAAGTATTTCTGATCCTTTTATAGGCTAGAGATATAAAATGGTAATCCAGAAATGGCCTATGTCCATTAGCTCTGGAGATGTCTCTCTAGTCTAAACCATCTGTCTCTACATGTGTTCCCTCTGCCAGCTGGTGTCTCTGTGCTTGGGCAATGGGGATGGTTATATTTCTCTTCCTTAGGTAGGAAAGCCGCTTCTTAATTTGAGTTCAAGATCAAATAGATGATACCTCTATTACTCAGTGCCATGACATTTTTGAATGAGCAATGATTCCCAGCCCTGCTAGCTCAAGGACATACTCATGTAACTATTTCATGCTCAATATTGTGTAGACCAGCAGTCCCCAACCTTTTTGGCATAAGGGACCGATTTCGTGGAAGATAATTTTTCCACGGACTGGGAGGGGTTGGGATGGGGGATGGTTTCAGGATGATTCAAGCATATAACATTTATTGTGCACTTTATTTCTATTATTATTATTGCATCATAATATATAATTAAATAATTGTACAATTCACCATAAATAAAAAGAGACACAGGCAGAAGTGGTAAATAAAATAACGGGCAGGCCACGCACAGACTAAAATAAGTGTCGGATTCTGATTTAAATCCTGCCACCAAAAGCAGCTGTACAATTGAAGTACATCAACTCACTTTCCACTCACTGGTAGGGTTTTGATATGAGTCTACAAGCAATTGATTTATTATGGTCTCTGCAGTCCAACCTCACTGCTAATGCTAGTCTGTATTTGCAGCTGCTCCCCAGCACTAGCATCACTGCCTCGACTCCACCTTAGAACGTCAGGCGTTAGATTCTCATGAGGAGCATGCACCCTAGATCCCTTGCAGGCACAGTTCACAATAGGGTTCACCTGCCTATGAGAATCTAATGCTGCCGCTGATCTGGTAGGAAGCGAAGCTCCGGTAGTAGTGAGAGCAGTGGGGAGCTTGCAGCTCTCCTCCTGCTGTGCAGCCCAGTTCTTAACAGGCCACAGACCAGTACAAATGCATTGGTCAGGGGTTGGGGACCCCTGGTGCAGACTACATATGCCAACCAATAAATGGAATAGATGACACAGAAGAGAACATCAAATAGATTTTTAGATAAAGAGGTATGGAATGTGGAAAGACACAGCTACTTGTAACCTACAATCATATCCAGGAGAGAAGACCAAGTCTCTCTACCAAGCACAGAAGCTATAGCCCCAAGTAAGCCTCATAGCTTGTATGTGTTGCTCACTGTATAAGTCCCGAAGGGGATCCAGTGAGGAAAACAATCTTGCTCCTCTTTCCTCTTGGGTTATGCTCTAGACTCCCCACTACAGTCGCTCTTCTTGGCCAGCAAGAAAATCAAGGTCGAGTTATTGCATGAGGGTGAACATCAGATTCATTAAGTGCTAGGATGAAGGTAGAAAATAAACATTGATCTATTTCCTACCTGACTTTTATCATTGGATAAAAATATATTGATAAAGGTTAAAATTATAGGCACATGATAGTTTTGGTTAGTCGTTGAATTCTTTCAATACCTTTAGAAATGGCAGTCATATTAACTGTTAAGATGTGTTATTAAAAAAAAGTATAGTTGTCAAGTAGACAGTTATGGAGTAGAAGTAGCTGTTAACTTATTTCTCTTTCCGAAGGTTAATGATCTCAGAGACCATAAATCATTTAAGGAGGTGATTTTCTTCAATAATCGGATGAGATGTCACAGTTGTATTTTCTTAAATTTTTTGTAAATGTCTATGCAAAGTTAATCAGACACATAACATAATACAGGGCTTTTAAAAACTGAATACTACATGTTCTTATTCAAAAACGGGCAGTAAGTATTGGACACACGGATGGGCACAGTAGACACTGAGCACTCCTAAGGAAGAGAGAAGGGATAAAGGATAGAAAACCACCCACAGGTGCCAGCCACATCCACTGCTGGGATGGGAGAAGGCTTGTCTGATGCCCAAACCTTGCCTTCACGTAATATAATTGTGTAGCAAATCCGCGCATGGACCCCACAATTCTAAAATAAAAAATTTTAGGTACAAAAAAGTTAATCAGAGAAAAATAATATATGCTTTTGAAATAATTTGGTGACCATATAATTTAATTTTCAATACATAACTTAATAGAAAGAGTAACTTAAGTATTGAATTTTACCAAGTTTCCACATTATTTGTATGCCCATTAAAATGCATGCCCATTAAAATCATTGTTAATGGACACACATATATTTTATATTCCTTTCATGAATGCGTACATTCTAATTAGTTTTTACTTTTTCCCGTTAATATTATTTCTTTTTTCTTTTTTCCTTTTGAGTTGGAGTCTCACTCTGTCACCCAGGCTGGAGTGCAGTGGCATGTTCACGGCCTCCATAGCCTCAACCTGCTGGGTTCAGGTGATCCTTTCCACCTCAGCCTTCAAAGTACCTGGAACTAGAAGTGCACACCACCACACCAGGCTAATTTTTGCATTTATTATAGAGGCACGGTCTCATCAAGTTGCGCAGGCTGGTCTTGAACCCATGGGCTCAGGCAGTCCTCTCGTCTCGGCCTCCCAAAGTGCTGAGATTATAGACTTGAACTACCGTGCCTGGCCAGCATTATTTTTACTATGTGTTTCCATGTATCAGCCTAGTCTGCAAGTTTATTCTTTTAGTAAAAATAATCATAATAGTAGTACTAGAAATAATAGTGATGATGATGATGATGATAACTAACATCAGTCAAGTGCCAGGCACTATGCTAACTATCTATATTATTATCTTATCTACAGTCATACTGTTTCATGTGTTGTCCTATCATATTTAGCCATTTTGAATATTTGACTGTTGCTAATATATCCTT